GTAAATCAGAGATGACTTCATATGCAGCAGTAGGAACATCAGTGAAGACGGCACTGCAGCTGAGGGCTAGAAACAATCACTTAATAGGAGATGGTGCTAACTAACCTTCCTCCATCATCAGGACATTTTGCTGTGTTCAACTCAGACTGAAAGCACAGAAGTCATGAGTTTTCTGTGTGTTATCTGTTAATCCCAGTTCTTACAGATACATCCTGATCTGCCCACTCAACCAGGACAAGAGCTGGGTGACCCCTACTTAAATTAAGGGGCTCAACACTTTATAGCAGGAACCCTGGGGAGGGGGTGTGCATTTGAAGGTGTGCATATATAATATGCTTACACAACTATATTCTCTCTCTAAAACCCAGTTTATCTGAGCAAGAACTAAAACATTGGTGTGTTATCAGTATTATACTCAGACTAAACCTAGAACACAGTGTTATACCAGTTACTAGGAAGAAAATTAATTCTATCCTAGCTGAAACCAGGACACCATCTATCATAACTACTATAGATCTACATAGATCATATAGTGCAGCCACAGAAATTTAATGCTGTCCAGAGAACCACATCAGAAGAGAGTGCTTTAGTCTTGACCAGATCACATATAATTCTTACATGTGTGATATACAAATGCCTGTAGTATAGGGAACAAACAAGAGGAATTAGAGAAGTGTGCGCACGTCTACAGGGATATGATATAATAGGTATCACTGAAACATGGTGGGATGGCTCCTATGACTGGAGTTTTGGAACGGAAGGTTACAGGCTCTTTAAAAAAGACAGGCCTGGCAGGCGGGGAGGGGGAGTTTCCCTTTATGTTAGGGGTAGGCTGGAGAGTATGGAACTCTGGCTGGGGACAGGTGAGCAGTCCACAGAGAGTTTGTGGGTCAGGGTTAAAGGGAATATAGCTATGGGAGACATTACTGTGGGGATCTGTTAGAGACCACCTGATCAAGGAGAACCTGCAGATGAAGCACTCCATAGACAGACAGGAAAAGCAGGCCCTTGCTCTCATGGGTGACTTCAACCACCCTGACATCTGTTGGAAGAACGGTACGGCCCGGCACAAGCAATCCAGGAGGTTCCTCGATTGTGTAGAAGACAACTTCCTTCTGCAAGTAATAGAGGAGCCGACAAGGACAGGTGCCATGCTTGACCTTGTGCTCACCAGCAGAGAAGGACTCAGAAATGTGACGCTCCAGGGCAGCCTTGGTTGCAGCGACCATGAGATGGTCGAGTTCGAGATCCTCAGGACAGTGACAAGAGCGTGCAGCAAGCTCACTGCCCTGGACTTCAAAAGAGCAGACTTTGGCCTCTTCAGGAGCCTGTTTAGTAATGTTTCATGGGATATAACCCTAGAGGGCAGGGGGGCCCAAGACTGTTGGTTGATATTCAAGGATAACCTACTATAAGCTCAGGAGTGTTGCATCCCGACTAGAAGAAAGTGCAGCAGGAGGGCCAGGAGACCTCCTTGGATGAATAAGGAGCTGCTGAGGAAACTTACAGGTTAAAAATGAGGCTTATAATAGGTGGAAGCAAGTACAGGTGGCCTGGGAAGGATACAGGGATGCTGTCAGGGAAGCTAGGGACCAGGTTAGGAAAGCTAAGGCCCAGTCAGAATTAAACTTGGCTATGGATGTGAAAGATAACAGGAATGGATTCTATAGGTACATTGCAAATAAAAGACAGACTAGGGACAATGTGGACCCTCTCCGGAAGCTATAAGGAGAACTGAATACCTTGGATTTGAAGGCGGCTGAGGTTCTGAATGACTTCTTTGCCTCGGTCTTCACTGGCAAATGCTTTGACCACACCACCCAAGTCTTGAAAGGCAGATGCAGGGACTGTGAGAATGAAGACTTTAAGCCCACTGTAGGAAAGGATCTGGTTCAAGACCATCTTAAGAGCATGAACATGCACAAGTCCACAGGACCTGATGAAATCCATCTGTGGGTCCTGAAGGAGCTGGCAAATGAAGTTGCGAAGCCGCTGGCCATCATATTTGAGAAATCATGGCAGTCAGGTGAAGTTCCCGATGACTGGAAAAAGGGAAATATAACCCCCATTTTCAAGAAGGGGAAAATGGATGACCCGGGGAATTACAGACCAGTCAGTCTCACCTCTGTGCCTGGCAAAATCTTGGAGCAGATTCACCTGGATGGCATGCTAAGGCACATGAAAAACAACAAGGTGCTTGGTGACAGCCAGCATGGCTTCACTAAGGCGAAAACCTGCCTGACCAATTTGGTAGCCTTCTATGATGGGTACGTGGAACTAATGGACAGAGGTACAGCAGTTGACGTCATCTACCTGGATTTGTGCAAAGCATTCGACACTGTCCCACACGACATCCTTGTCTCTAAATTGGAGAGACATCAATTTGATGGATGGACCACTCAGTGGATAAAGAACTGGCTGCATGGCCACACACAAAGAGTTGTGGTCAATGGCTCAATGTCCGGCTGGAGACCAGTAACGAGTGATGTCCCTCAGGGATCGGTGTTGGGACCAGTCTTGTTTAACATCTTTGTCGCTGACATGGACAGTGGGATTGAGTGCGCCCTCAGCAAGTTTGCCGATGACACCAAGCTGTGTGGTTCGGTTGATACGCTGGAGGGAAGGAATGCCATCCAGAGGGACCTTGACACACTTGTGAGGTGGGACAATACCAACCTCATGAAGTTTAACCATGCCAAGTGCAAAGTCCTACACCTGGGTCAGAGCAATCCCAGGCACAGCTACAGGTTGGGCAAAGAAGAGATTCAGAGAAGGACTTGGGGGTGTTGGTTGATGAGAAACTGAACATGAGCCAGTAGTGTGCACTCGCAGCCCAGAAAGCCAACCGTATCCTGGGCTGCATCAAAAGAAGCACGACCAGCAGGTTGAAGGAGGTGATCCTGCTCCTCTACTCTGCTCTTGTGAGACCTCACCTGGAGTATTGTGTGCAGTTCTGGTGTCCTCAACATAAAAAGGACATGGAACTGTTGGAACAAGTCCAGAGGAGGGCGACGAGGATGATCAGGGTACTGGAGCACCTCCTGTATGAAGACAGGCTGAGGAAGTTGGGGCTGTTCAGCCTGGAGAAGAGAAGGCTGCGTGGAGACCTCATAGCAGCCTTCCACTATCTGAAGGGGGCCTATAGGGATGCTGGAGAGGGATTCTTCATTAGGGACCTTAACAACAGGACAAGGGGTAATGGGTTCAAACTTAAACAGGGGAAGTTTAGATTGGAAAGGAGGAAGTTCTTTAGTGTAAGGGTGGTGAGGCACTGGAATGGGGTGCCCAAGGAAGCTGTGTGTTCAAGGTGTTCAAGGCCAGGTTGGACAAAGCCTTGGGTGACATGGTTTAGTGTGAGGTGTCCCTGCCCGTGGCAGGGGAATTGGAACTAAATGATCTTGAGGTCATTTCCAACCCTGATACGTTTGGAGCTTGTACCTCCTCTGCTTTCCAACTCTGATATAGCCCTTGAAAATGATATTTTCAAGGCAATGCCTGTGTAAAGTGCCACCATTCTTACTATGTTTGGATCCCTGCCCTAAGTAACTGTATGCTATGATCACAGCCTCATGCTTGTTGTCTTTGAGATACTGAAGATGAGAAAGACACTGTAGTACCACATATTTATGCTGTAGCCCGAGCAATATAAGCACTCGAGACACCCCATGGGGCCTCTGCGTTATACCAGAAAAGTTCTCTTCTTTTTCAACACACAAATACACAAGTTGCCTTTGAATGGTCCTCTTTATCTTAAAAAAATTGTTTTTCCAAGAAAACGGCAGAATTCTTTCTCTTAATTCTCACAAAAATTTACATTTTGCGTCCTCTCATTAAACCAGTTACATCTATCAATTCTGTCTATCATTTCAGGCATATCAACTGAAATTCATATCCCCCTGAATTCAGTCTTCATTAAACATGGAAGAATGTTTTATAGCAGAGAAGGCATTTTCTCTATACCTGCTAACAAACATGAACATAGAAAAATGAGTAGACAGGTCTCAGATAACAGGAGTTTTGCCCAGTTTTCAAAAGACTGCAGCGCGAGACAGCTGATCCTCCTACAGTAAATAATGGAGAACAGCCTTCCATTCCTCTTCTCTAAGCAACATCCAAAGAAATATGTAAATGCATAAGCTCCTAATTAATTTCCTAAATATCCTTACAACTTCCTTAAGTATCTGAAGCACATGAAATTTCCAGCTATTTCATTTTCAGAACTTAGCTAGATTTAAAAAAAAAACACAAAACAAAACCAAAACAATCCTAAAGCCCAGCCCAAAACCAATATCAGAACCTGTTATTCCATGTGCTACCTTTAAAGTAAACATTTGCTGAAATAATTCAGAAATATTTAGACTTTAAAAATCCATAGGAAGCAAAGAAGAATTATGAAATACTTAAGAAGAAGGTTATTCCTTCTCTAGTCTTTATGAGAAAATCTGGGTTTCCTGTCAGCTTTTAGCTTAGGAGGGATTCAGATCAGTATTTAAACTGTGTCTCTGGTAGATACAGGCTTGTCCTACTGAATGGGCACTGAGCTGTGTGAGGTGTACCATATCATCATTATAAACATGCTGTGCTGTAATGGCTAACAAGAAAAATTGCAAATGATCTACTTAAGTGAAAATAGCTAATATATTAGGGGGATGACACATTCTGATGAATCAAATAATTTTTCCTTCTCTTTCATTTCCTCTAAAACTTCAAAGCAATCAGATGTTGTTTATGCATAAAATTTAATCTTTTCACTGATCTGTAGTTTGACTGAATTTGCATACTCTATTTCCTACAAGTCAGTCTGAAGAGAGCCTCATGTAATTGAAACCATTTCCCCTCCAGTCCTCCTATCTTTGCTGTAATATTTTCTATTAGTAGCTCTATTATAACTAATATCTGTAATGTTGGCAGATCAGAAAATTCACTTAATGCAACCTGTTATTTATAAACCACTAGGATGAAAGAAGTAACAAATACAAGAAAGAGGAACCAATAATTACCTGTCTTTGATGCCACACAGATCAATGTGTAAATCACTAAAATTCCCTAAAGAGCCTTGCTGAACTAAAATGAGGTCCTTGGGCTGGTTATCAATAAAGATGAGCCTCATACAGCCTTGAAAATCAGTAATGGGATTTAAACATTGGGAATCGGTGAAATTGTCAGGGCACCCTGTGGGAAAAAGAGAAAAGACAATGATATTGGAATGTTCATCTATTTCTGCTGGGATTTCCTGATGCAAAAACTCAGAGACTAATTATTCCAAGTGCTTTCATTCCTTATGCTACACAGCCTTCTCTGTTATAAATCCTTTCGTAAGAAAGAAAAGAAAAAAAAGAGAGGGGAAAAAAGAGAGCATCCAGCCACTGGAAATATCAGAGTATGAGGTTTCGTGTGTGCTTATCAAAATTTTTTTTTTTTTTCTGTTGTCTTTAAACTCCACAATTGATAGCAACTGAATCCCACTAAAAAAGCTGTGCAAATTGTAAAATCATTATGAGTTAAATTCTGCTGCTGAAGAAATGTACACAGTAAATGGATGAAATTCTGTGGACAGTAAGCAGGATAACCATTTGTATCTGATCTTCTTCAGCATTTGGCCAGCTTTCAGATTCAAAGCTTCCTGTGCATCCTCACTTAGTACTGTATCCAGAGGGTTCATTGAGACCAAGAGACTCACCATGGTAAGTGCTACACAGAAATCTATTAGATAAAAAGATATTTGATGGCAGTCCCTTTATCTAAATTAATGCTTGCACTGCAAAAAGCAGAAGGTAGTATTTTACAAGACTGTTCTTTCAATTTTCAAAATTGAGCTAAATCTACATTCATATCCATGTGAGCAGAGTACATAAATATCTTTGTAGATCTGAGCCATATGTCAATAAGCTCAGAGTTTAAAGTCACTGAGCCTGATCAGTACAGTGACATCTACAGGAATATAATAATACTAATAGTCCTCAAGACTTTTAACTAGAAAAAAACATTTGCGGCTAATACAGCTAACTGTTGTATGTTTTGCCAGCTAGATGTAGGTACCCATTGGTACCCCAGTACCAGTAGTCCACTTCTACAGCTTTGCTAGCAGTTCCGTTCATTCTCCCTCTGTCAGGGTTGACCAAAACCTTTCTATCTTCCCACAGTGCTGTATGACTTGCAGCTCCATAGAGATTCTAAAATTAGTATTACAACATTTGCTCTTAGCTGCAAACAGAGTGCACCTGGGAAGACCTCAGTGGTGAGGCACTTGAGGATCTGCATCATGAAAACCTGTCCTGCATCTGTCTGAAACAACCTACCTCCAAAATAGTAGCTGTTCCCAGAGTAGATCCTTGAGGCAGTGGTTGCATGGCTAGCAGTGGCAGCGTTGTTATCCAGTGTCAGGGTAATGCGATGTCTTCTGGCATTGATGTTAACGGAATGCCAAAGGCCATCGTGGAGATTGGTGCCTGGCAAAAAAAAAGTACTAAGAGTGAAGAAAGAGGTAGAGAGATAACTGTTTTCTTCAAACCTCCTTTTGCTTCCAACTCGTGAACACAAATGTGCATTTAACCCCCAAAAAAGGGAGAACTGGCAGCTGAAAAGAACTCATTACCTCTGGAAACAAACTGGCATAGAAGGAAAGGCCCAAGAAAGTGAAAGCTTTTGAAAGGATTTAAGTGGGTCACCTCACATTTTAATCTAATCTGCTTCTGGTATTGCATCAAGCTAGCCAGGCCCTTCATCTTTCTGGTAGCACATTATTACCATTTTGCAGGTGTTTATGTCTATCTTCAGTCTGCTGGGACATGCTTGTAGCTCACAGGAGTTCACAGAGAAGATGTCTGCTATGTTTCTGATATTAAACACATGCCTGAGATTGCAGAGGATTAGGCTCGATGAGATAGCCATACCCCACCTCAGGCTCCAGTATGAAACCTGACAAATTCCAGTGGGTATCAGTAGGATTTGTTTTTCTTAAAACCCTTGAGTGCTAAGTTAGCACACAGTCTTATTGACAGATGTACCAAAGCCTTTCTATATTGGATTTTGACATGGGTCTTGTGAGAGCTGGGACTGATGCTCTGACCAGGAATTTAACAACGTACATGAGAGATTATGGTACTGGGTAGCCTCTTTCTCTTCTAGACACTTGTGCAAAGTGGGAAATAACCTTTTTGTTTCCTTATTCTGAAAATCAGTGTTGCTGCAAAGAAACACCTCATTCTCTGTTCTGACAGTCACGAAAATCAGTGGGCAAGCTTCTGAGCTCACACACTGTGGTGCAGATCAAAACTAACCTAATTCCAGTTCAAAATAGCTACCGTCAGGCTGGAGTCACCGAGATCAGGCACAGATAACTAGTATTTACTCCCCTCCCTAATGGAATATTTTTCAGTAATGTAGCTTTCAGAAGAAGCAAACGATCACTTAGAGACACAAAGAGGTGTGAGAACAGTTCAAAATTTAAAAAAATGTGGGTGTTACACGTATGAAAAGCCATTTCATTATGAATTTGAAAATGAGACAATTTTGACAGTAATGTCTGTTAATGCATTCACAATTTCCATAGAATAAGAGGCTGGCTTCCCATCAAAACTGGATTATTTTTCAACTAGAACAAGTCCATTTTGAAGTGAAATATGTTGTTGAAGTTTGAAAAGATGTCAAAACAAAATAGGTCCCATTTGGGGCAAAAATAGGTCTATTCTTGAGCAAGCATGACTTTATTGTCAGTACCTGACATCTGCCGAGCACGGCACTTGCAATTTCTGCATATTTTCCGTATGTAAGTAGGCTGTTTAGCAACGTTCTGGATAGCATCAAAGGCTGGGCTCAGATTCATGATTTCAGAACTACATAAAACCGAATACACCCATCTAAATATTGACATTGTCTCAGCTTTGTCAACAATTTAATCAGGACTGCAATAGAAGCTGGAAACTGAGTTTCAGCATTCAGTTGCAGGAAGCTAAGGCTGTAGTAACCTTCACATATAAGGATAGATGCAGGACTGCCTCATTTTCTATCATAAAGAGAAATGAAACATGCACACAGAACAGCTCTGCTTTGACAACTCTTTCAGATTTTACCTCTGCTTCTTTTAATAGACACATCTGCCCTCTTTTAGTCTGCACTGGGAATATTCGAATATTACATATTTTTAAACAGTTGCTCTTTTAGAAAATACCGTTATTATTTAGTTCCGAGTTCCATCAGTCTATTACTCACCCACCTTTGCAAAACGGGTATTCAACCTATGCAGAAAATTAATTTCCCAGTCTCCCACCCATCATGGTTGCATAGCAGGAAGGGAAGCACAGAATCCCTGGGCTAAGAACATTTCTGTTTGGGACACCAGCATAGCTTATATAGGTCACACTCAAATGGCAGCTGGGGCACTCTGGTCCTGCCTCTGTTGTACAGTCTGAAATTGTTTCCCTGTTGTCTCTGGGAGTGAATGCATAGCTGTTCTGGTAAGTGGTTACAAACAATTTCCCTTGAATTTTAAGTCAGAGAAGCAACCCCATTTCATCCTCTTGCATCCCACCAGGCGCACTGCACAAAGCCATATGCAAAGTGGCTAAGGAGACCAATTGAGGGAGTGTGAGGAGAGGAAGCCCATGGTTAGTCCTACTTCTGAGCATAGCATAGAGGGAGAATGTAAAACTAAGCGGAAGAAAATCAGCCCTGAGTCTGCCTTCACTTGTACTAGGGAATGGTGCAACAGCTGAGCTGGCTCCTAGCTGACTTCAGACAATCTCAGGACAGGAGACAGCAAGGTCTTCATGTGAGCTGATCAAAGAAAATTTAATGTGTCTGTTTAAGAACACAGAGGCTGAGCTGATTGTCAGGTAGACTGCATCTGGAGATCTCAGGATGCCAATTTTCCATGCTTAGATCTATCTTAAGCTGCACAGAATGGTTCTACCACTGGAAAGCAAGAGAAGATTTGAAAAGAGAAAGGCATATTGGGTGCTTCCTTATTTCACCATCCTTTCATCCTATGGGGTTGGACCTTTGCATTTTAAAGAGAGCAGATGAGCATAAGCAAAAAATAAGTACCTTCAGTGATTTCCACTGGGTTCTCTGTCTCCTTCTGAATAAGTAGTGTCAATCTCCCACCACGGAGGTAAATCAAGAGAGGTCCTGAATTTTCAGACAATTCAGTGTACAGAAGTAAACCATCTTTATTCCATGTTCGAAACTGGAAGCTGACCGACAAACCATCAATTTGAGGAGTGCCAGGTAGTAGCAAGTAGCTTTGACTGTTGCTGAGAAAGGTGATAGGAACAATTTGTGGTTCTGAGCAAGCAAATGTCACATTCCCCTGCAAATAATAGAAATCAAATATAATAAACCTGACTTATTTTTTTTGGTCATCCCAAAACATCCATAGTTAAATAAACTTCAGTGCCTAATGGCACTCAAGGCTGGAATAATATCCCTTATCAAGTCAGACCATCTCAACATGGCAACATCTACTTTGTGTTTTCCAAAACCTCCCATTCCATCTCAAGTTCAGCTTTATGTCAAGAGAATCAAACTCATTTGGATCTATGCTGACTTCAGGAAGCGACACCGAAGGAACAGTAAGTCCACAAGATGTGATACTAAAGTTCTGCATTGGCTATGCACTGATTTCTTTGAAATATAAGCCAAAAGGTAGCTGTTACTGACAGGTTTTTGTGGTTTGTTGTTGTTTTTTTTTTCCATTTACACCAATGCAACATAACTTTAAAAGAAAAAACTTCCTCATCTACTTGAACCTACTATGTGGGGCAAACCATGAAGCAAATTTCCTGGGTTCATTTCAAATACTCAGTATAAAACTTGTGGAAGAAGTACTCGTTTTCTTTTACCCAGAGTGACACAGCCTTGTGCTACTACAGATAACAAAAGTCCACTCAATACTAATGCAAATAATTAAAAACAAAAAAACAATTATTCTGAAATTACCTCAGAATTCATAAGGAAACTCAAAGAAAGTCACTTGAATACAGTACTTGGATGAAATAATAGTGAGATTTCCTGCCCAGTGCTAGGTCCCATGGTTTCCATGTGGCATTTTGAGGAATTATTAAAAGATTACATACACAGCAAGTGTGGTGAAATCTAACATCTTTTCAATGACAAACACAGTTGATTACCTCAGTTATCTAGCCCTAAAATCAATGATGATATGTGCCCAGAAGAAGAGCACATTTACTCAAAGCAGTCAGCAGAATCTGTACCAGCATGTATCCCTGAAATTTGTAGAAAAAAAATCACTGTTTTGTTCAACCATTATAGATGATTCAACCAGGTCATTCAAGCCATGTAAATAAAACCTTAGTAACAGAAAAAGCTAGTACGCACTAAAGAAGCCACGTCTTTTAAAGCCGCTTGGGAGATTGTTGTAGCCAGCTAGCTTTAAACTCAGCTGTTTTGTAAAATACCAACTGGAATCTAATAAAACATTGAAGTAAAAGGCTTCTTCCACCATACGGCTTCTCATCAGAGCTGGTACCTCACTCTAACAGGATAATTATAATGAGCAGCACTTGATGGATGTGTAGGAAGTTGCATAGTGCTTGGGGAATTCCTATCTGAAATCTCAGACAGCTAATGGAACTGTTCCCTATCACTTTCAAATGTCTTTCTAGTCTTTATTTTAAAATGGAAAATAAATAAAGTGCCAGAAAGAGTTATCACTGGATGAAATAACCCTTGATAGATATGTATCTGTATCAAGCTATTTATTCCTTCCCTACCCTGTTAGGTGGAGAATGGAACACATATCACATTTAGCAATGGCAAAAGGTATCCATGGGTATACCATGTTAGAATGAATTTTGAGATACAATCCAAAGCTTACCCAAACTCACCTGAACAGTCAGGTGGGAAGTAGGATGGAATTTTTTTCTCAACATTTAAAGTGTTTTTACTACCTGATGGGTTTTGCCTGTGTAAGAGATGCCACAGTCTGTCTTTTTGTTATTACATTTCCACCTTCATTTTTAATTGAATTCATTACAAATTACAGAAAAGAAAGATGGCCAACTGCAGCAATATAAACAAAAATAATTAACCTTATCTAGAGTTTTTTTTAAAGTTTAGACATTTAAAATGCCAATGACAAGTTTTCTTTAGAATTTTAGGCAATTACAGTGATTCCAGTAACACCACACAAACTAGTAAGTAGTTTACAGATCTTATACATACACCAGAGCTTTGGAGAATGTTCAAATATTGTCTGAGTCTGCACTCAAGTATCTCATTTGCTTCACTGGCAGTGTAAGGCTGTAACAAAATGCAAGACTGCATTGCAAGGGGGAGGATTTGGATAGGATTTTTGCCTCAAAGGTTATTGCAGATTTTACCTACCAGCAGAATAAGCTATACCTAGACTGACTTAATGGTGCTGGAGATGGTGAATGTTAAAATGAAGAAACATGTTTGCAATGTACAAAAAACTTTCAAATGACCTTAAAATAAGCCAGTAAAGACCTTCTGTAGTCAATACAGTTTCAGCTGCTTGCAGCACCACTATAGCAAATATCGGGTTTGAGTGGCAAGGTTTTGGTAGCAGGAGGCTTACAGGGGTGTCTTCTGTGAGAAGCTGCTAGAAGCTTTCCCTTGGTCCAGTGGAGTCAATGCCAGTCAGCTCCAAGACAGACCCACCACTGCCCAAGGCTAAGCCCATCACCAGTGGTGGTACCACCTCTAGAATAACATAATTAATAAAGGTGAGGGGAAACCATGCAACTGCAGACAGCGAGAGGAGTGAGAATACATGATATCAACAGCCCTGCAGACACCAAGGTCAGTGCAGGAGGGAAGGACATGCTCCAGGTACCAGATCAGATTCCCCTCCAGCCCACAGTACAGACCATGGTGAGGCAGGCTGTGCCCCTGCAGCACATGGAGGTTCACAGTGGAGCAGATCTCTACCTGCAGCCCATAGAGGACCCCATTCTGGAGCAGGGTGATGCCTGGAGGAGGCTGTGAACCCATGGGAAGCCTGTGCTGGACCAAGCTCCTGTGGCCCTGCAGAGAGAGGAGCCCACACTGGAGCAGGTTTGTTGCAGGACTTGTGTCCCCGCACAGGACCCACACTGGAACAGTCTGCTCCTGAAGGACTGCACCAATGCAAAGGACCCATGCTGGAGCAGTTCATGAAGAACTGAAGCCCATGGGAAGGACCCACATTGGAGTAGGTCGTGGGAAACTGTCTACTGTGGGCGTGACCCACACTGGAGCAGGGCAAGTGTGTGAGGAGTCTTCCCCTGAGGAGGAAGATGCAGCAGAAACAAAGCGTGATCAACTGACCACAGCCACCCATTCCCTGTCCTCATGCACAGCTCAGGGAGAGAAAATAAAGAGTAAAGTTAAGCCTGGGAAGAAGTGAGGGGTGGGGGGAAGATGTTTCTAAGGGTTGGTTTTATTTGTCATTATCCCACTCTGATTTGATTGGTAATAAACTAATTTCCCCAAGTTGAGTCTTTTTTTTGCCTGTGATGGTAATTGGTGAGCTATCTCTCCCTGGTCTTATCTCGAACCATGAGGCTTTCATTATATTCTCTCTCCCCTGTCCAGTGGAGGAGGGGAGTGACAAACCAGCTTTGGTGGGCACCTGGTGTCCAGTTAGGGTCAGCCCACCATGTAAGGTCAAATTTCTGTCTGCTTCTGATATGAGGTTCTCAGCATGTGCTACTAGTTCACTACCTAAATTTATGGATTACTTTGACCCCTTGAAAAATTTAGCACTACTCTAGTCATTCACACTAGCTAGTAATTCATGCCATCTGGGATCCACACAGAAGTCTTACACTGGAACAGGAGCAGCAAAGAGTAGTGACTGAACCAATGCCGGGGACATGCAGACTAGACATACTTGTCTCCTCCCATGGTTAACCTGCCGAGACTTCAATGACTCAATGACTCTCAGTTGACAAGAACAAGCAGGTGGGAACACATAAAGGGGGTGCTGCAATTTTCTATGTACATGGGATTAAAGGTACATTTGGGGGATAGAAATGAAGCACGTTTGCCTTTTAGGCGGATTCTTCTGTTACTCATTCAAGAATTGAGACCTCCATGAGGTAAAGGCTATAACTCATTTTAGTCAGAACTAAAAACTAGCAGGGACAATGGGGGAAAAAAACATTAAATAAACCAATTGATGCCATGTGAACTTAAATCAGTTCAACTGATTCATTTAGGAAGGAAACACTTTCTTAAAGCAGAATCCCAGAGCAAAAGCTTAATACGTACCAAAAATAGTTGCTGATGTCCTTACACTGACCAACAGTGTCTACCCTCCTAGAGACAGTAACATGAAAATTTGGAAAAGAAACAATGGTTACTATGAAAAATGTTCATCCACTGAAGTGAGATAGGTTCCCAGTACAAAGAGTGTTAAATTTGCCCTTAATTTTTTTCAAAAACTAATTATTCCAGTGGGTCTAAGTCAGAAAAGTAAACAGCTCTCCCTAAACCTGTATCTGATCAGGAGTGTTTTGCTTTAATTGGCAGCAGTTCTGGAACTATCCAGGGTACACACAAGACTTCTAGCAGACACTTGATTTTATAACTGAACCGAGTTTAACTGAAAAGTAAAAGCTCATTGGCTAGGAAATGGGATAAGAAGAGTGTAATCCCCAGAGAAAATAAAAGAGCTGCTCAGCTCTACCCAGCTGCTGGAAAATCCAGCTATCATGTGGCATTTAAGAATTTCACTGAGTCCATCATCTCCAGACTGATTAATGACTTCTCTAATAAACAGTGAAATCTTTCCAAAAGAGTTCTTATTCTACTTTAAAGACAAAGTGTATGTAGTGATAGGATATGGGGGAATGGCTTTAAACTGAAAGAGGGTAGGTTTAGATTACATATTAGGAAGAAGGTCTTTACTGTGAGTGTAGTGAGACACTGGAACAGGTTGACCATAGAAGCTGTGGCTGCCCCATCCCTGGAAGTGTTCAAGGCCAGGCTGATGCTTTGCACAGCCTTATCTAGAAGAAGATGTCTCTGCCCATGGCAGTGTTGGAACTAGGTGATCTTTAAGGTTCCTTACAACCCAAAACATTCTATGAAGCTATAAATGCAACAGAGCTGGGGGAGGAAGAAGGCAGGGAGTGAGCAAGCGGCTGTGTGGCTCTGAGTTGCTGGCTGGGCTTAAACCACGACAGTATATATTAAGATAATGTTTCTATGTGAAAAAAAAATTAACAAAAAAGAATGCTTTGAAAAAACTAAAACGTGATCATGACAGAATCAGGGATAAGATGCTTGGCTAGGTATTTCTGGATGTTCCTTATCACAGACTTCTAAGCTATGTCACTGGAC